ATTTACTAAAAAGAGGGAACAAATTAGTATGACGTAGCCACAAAAGACTCGAACAAAGGAACAAATTACTACAATATGACTATTATTTACTAAAAAGAGGGAACAAATTAGTACAAGGTGGTTGCAATTTACTAAAAAGTGGTACAATGTCACTACAATTTACTAAAACGAGGGAATAGTACTAAAATTTACTAAAACAGTGGACCGAATTATTACAACGTGGCCACAAAATACTCAAACAAGGGAACAAATTACTACAACATGACCACAATTTACTAAGAAGAGGGATTGATTTAGTACAACATGGCCAAAACAAGGTAATGAATTTGTATGTGGCCACAATTTACTGAAATGTGGGAACAAATTAGTACAACGTAAATACAATATTTTTTCCCCTTGCATATCATGTGTGGGGCAACGTATATTTCACACCGAAAATTTAAAAAATTTTGGATAAAGAAACTGAAGTTCATTTGTTGGATCATTCAGGTTTTTCTGCATTAAAACATTTTCTTGACCGTCGTTTTCCTCACGATTTTGATTGGGACAGGTTTCGTGAGATTGTTGTGGGATTTTGTGAGAAGTTGGACAAGGCTGTAATGAGGATCAGTTTGATCCAACGTGACTCTTTTCCACACATTTGTCCGTCTCACACATAAACGTCAGCAATTTAGACTATTTGCATTCGCTCATGTGAGATGAATCAACAGACTTAAGATCTGACAAGACTTGTGTGACAAGTCTCATTCCTGTTTATTCCTGTACATTTCACAGTGTCAGTCTGGATGGTGGTGGTAGATTAAACCCGAGTTCCAGTATTTGGGGTTTAAAAAGAAAGGATTATAAAAAAATTGTTTTTAAACCGGGTGTGTGAGAAGCCCCAAGGCAGTGCATTGCGAGGCACTTACATGCTTTCAGAAGATGCTGTCTGTGTGCGATCACACGATCCTTTCATTGTTTACTAATGTGGGAAATGGCAGAAACAGGCATTTATGTTGCATTGATTTGTGTCAACTAACACTTGACATAATCCCATGATCAAAAATAAAGCTTCCTCTTTAAAACATCCAGAAGGCACACTTTGAAGTTACTTGAAGAATGAAATCAGTTATTGCTCGGAGATCTGCACATTCGTTTAAAGTGCCGCAAGATAATTGTGCGAGAATTAAAGGCCACCTGACAGTTTTCTATAGTATCCGTTGCTGGAGGGAAGGACTGTGAGATAGCGGTGAGTTGTGAATGGAAAATGGATCCAGTTGTTCAGGATCTGAACACGTGCACTGCCCGCACCACGTACTGCCGGCAGATCGGACATTCATTCATGCGCTTGCCGCACTTTGTGCATGTGACCATGTGTCCGCACTCCAAAAAAACACAGTCAATGGGTGAGTCCATACAGATCTTACACAGGTTCTCCTCCACGGCCGTCCCAGGTCCGGCGTCTATAAAGAAAACAAGAAGTCCTCACAAACTTAGAAGAATAACAATCAGTATGAAAAGAAACTGAAGAGTGCATGTGTGTGAATATCGTGACATTTTGGTCAGGAAATCAAAAATGCAATTTATAACATTCACTTAAAAGCATCTTAATTTTTTTTAATGAGTTTTGATATTTTTTGGATGGGTTAAGTAAAAATGTTAATGTGGTACAACTGTCCTCTTCTCATAATGAAGAAAAAAAAACATAGCTAGGCATAATTTATTATTATTACTACTTTAAAACAAAAATCGGTTAGGGTTAGTTTTTAAAGTCATGTGGTGCAACCAACTTGCAAAAAAGAAAGAAAGACACATTTATTGACCTTGACACATAGTGTCAGATAATTTAACCTGATAGAGCAAGTTGTAAAATGTCACATGGTTAAACTCCCAAAATATTATTTGGGGACAAAATATAAAACGTATAAACCTTTTGAAAATGATTGAGATTGTATTTAAGGTGTAGAATGTTTTTTATGGTCACACCATATAAACATTTTAGGTCAAAAGTGGTTGAAATTGTTGTTGAAAATGTTCATAACCAACATGAAAACCAATTATATTTCTATGAATTTGACACATACTGTACATATTCATGAATTCCACCTGCAGGCTTACCAATTATGTGCATTGCTGCCTGATTAAATTATTCATAGCTTCACAGTAAAACTTGACAAATTAAATGAACACTTAAAATATTAAATGAGGTCATAAGAAATAAACCCACCTGTGCCTTCTGTGGCATTAGACACTGTAAAAATGAAATACAGTCCATGTTAATGTAATGAACAGAAATGATACATTATATATTTAGGCATACTTTAGAAAATGTGGTCATGTTTGCCCAGGCCACTAACTGCAATACCACATTACCTTTTAAAAATATGTCAAACCTACAGGTTACACTGGAAAAAACAGCGCAAACCAAACTATAAAAAAATAACACATCACTGGGACAGTGCTGAGCTGAACACTCAACACTGTACAAACTGAGCCCTCATTCTCATGATGATGCATCTGATCACACACCAAACTCTTTACCCATGTTCTGCAGGTCCTTCTGGTCGTGGTACAAACGCGTGACTCTCTCCATCAGCTCCCATTTCTCACAGCAGCCCTTATAGTCGACGAAGTTCCTGGCGAGAATCTCCTTCAACTGCCGGACACTCAAAGCCTCAATGTCCTCCACTGATCGGAGGTCAGAGAGAGACGCCCGTCGCCCCGGAGCCAGCACTTCCTCAGAGTCTGAAGACTGACACAGAGAAAGACAGCATGCAAACATCTGTTTATCTAGGCCTGAGAGGTAAATGATCTCTTGGCATCCCAAATGCATGCAAACATCCCTCCACTGAGAGTGAAAGCCGACTTCAGAGAACAAGAATCTGCCAAATCAAGGACAAATGCTAGAAAATGAAAGCGTGTCATTTTACTTTCACTTTTGCTGATTTAGAAACAGGTTTTAACCCGCAACCACAAAGCAATCCAGAGATGAGCAAAAAGCCAAAATAGTTTTGCTGTCAAGTTTGGCCGACATAACACAAACTGACACTATGAAGAGAAAGATGTGACATGCCAAGATAGATGCAGAAGGAGATTAGAAAACACACACAGATTAATCGATTAATGAAAGGCAGTGTGAGGACAGTGTGTAACTCCACATCCTGCTATTATGTCAACAGTATATGCTAATGCTAGGGTACAGATAACATGCAAAGTGTTCATTAACATCATGGTTTAAAGGTCTTGTTTAGATTACCTCTAAACTACAGCCTTTTTATGATGATAAGGAGAGGTATTATGCGTCATAACACTGGCCTTCCACCACACGGTAAATGTTGCGCTTATCTTTCTTAATGTAGCATTGAAAGACAGAGCATCCGTATTTGACCAACAGAGAGACTGTACATCAAATTCAGGAATGAAAGAACAAGGGGAGCCACATTAGGGTTGTGCAGATAGACGATAGTATCGTGTATCGCCGATAGTCAGAGATATCACATGTGGCTGATACCTTTGACGATATCAAGCCTATTATTATTATTATTGTCCAATTAATATTAGGGCTTATTTGTCCCATCATATTTCTTTTTATGCTTTTTAACAATGTTGCACGTTATAACCAATCACAAACGATTCTGTTGAGCTTATGAATGCAATGACCAATCAGGGGCATTAAGAATGAGTCATCGCTGAAACAGTGGAGTTTTGTTGTTTATTGCATGCAATCTCTGATTGAATTCTGCTCTCTCGCGAATTCTCTCATCATAAACAACGAAGTGCAGATGTACGTGCAATGCAAGTACAGGAGACAGCTTCACTGATTATAACGGGAGTGTTTTTTTAAAGTGCATAAACTCGCACTAGACTGAAGTCAGTGATGATGTTATTTGATAATGTAAATGTTCTTTGCTCGTTTTCTGTAGCTGCTGTTTGAATAGCAGGAATGGTAAGCATTATAATTAATTACAATGATTTTATTAAATTGTGATCTTGATAAATACAAATACAGGCAGTTGGAGTTCCTGGAGTTGGTTCACTGTCCAGCTATGAAACTAAGTAAATAATTCAATAAATTAGCATGCGTATATCGGCGATTTCACAGGTTGACTATGGAGCATATCGCCCAAGACTAAGCCAAAACAATTAAAGCACACGGTCAAAAGAGCCCATCCACCAGCCAAAGAAATGAAAATCCACCTTATTTATTTAGCAAACGCATGTCATGTTTTTTTTTGGACTTCATAATGTTTAATCAAAATGACGTTAACTGAATCTTCTGGTGAAAATGACAGACTCCTCTCTGGTGACATATGCAGGAAGAAGGCATCTGGACGTGAAAATGTTGAATATCAATCCACTAATTGACTTGTGATGCAGTCTAGACTCATAAATCACACTGTATTCATTCATCCAGGCCAGAGGAGAACCGGTCCTCCGACTGATGCTGGTTTTTCCTCAAGGTTTTTTTTCTTTCTTTCTTTCTTTCTACATTTATTTCACCTGATGGAGTTTTGGTTCCTAGCCACTGTCGCCTTTGGCTCGCTTAGCAAGGTTTTAAAACACTCTTTAATATTCAGTATTATTATTGATTTGACGGCATAAGAATAAAACTTGAACTGACTTGAGCTGAATAATGACACTATTGTCTTCTGTAGAGCTGCTTTACAGCTGAATTGACTTTGTTTCATAACTGATCAACTTTACATATTTGTTGAACTGAATGGAATCCACCTGAACTGACTAGAGCTGCACTGAAACAATCTGTATTGCAAAAAGCGCTATAGAAATAAACGTGACTTGACTTCCTCCAATCATTTAGTCCAGACCCCAACAATCGACTGCAAGCACACAATTAGTTTTAAGAGCAACACCCTTATCGATGGGTAGAATCAAATCCCAGACCCTTCCCCCCCCCCCCCCCCCCCCCCCCCCCAATTCCCCTGTTATGACCACCATCTCCAATTACTCGTCACAAGATTTGTTGCTACTTCTATTTATTGTGACTTTTCACACTAGTATTTTCACCCCATATATGAAAGATCAGTTGATCTGAATCACAAAACTGGTCTCAATGGCTTCATTCACTGGGAATGGATTAATCCCGATCTTTACCAAGTTGACAGAATATGAACTATCACTTTAAGATGTGAAAAGAGTAAAACAGACTTTCAAAGAAGCAGTGATTCATCCCAGCCTGCAGCCAAGCTTTTTCCCACGCTCACAGAACCCACATGGAAGCAGAAGACATTCTTTAAACGGACTCTGCTGACAACGGCATAAATCATCTTTTCATTGCAGAAGAATGAGAGAGAGATTCCTAGGCATTCTGAAGTGCGACAGGTCACTGTTCTGTCCTCTACCCCATTTAACGCCCCAGACAGCACTGCAGCAAGAAGAGGAGGAGAGGTGAGGAGTTTCAGGAGGTACCTGCAACTCCTGCTCCACCTGCAGCTCAGCGTCCATCTCGCTTTCAGCTGTCGCCTCAGCCAAGCTCTAAGGGTCAAGGGTCAAAGGTCACAGCCAACACAGTTTAACACAGCTGTGCTCCCGATCTAACTCACTTTAAGTTACAACAGATATTTTGCACGCTCCTAAGTGTTCTTAAGAGACCGTCTGTGTCAAAAGTGAGTCACACAAGTCATTTTAAAGCTGTGCTTTAAAGTGCTGTGTGAACCAAACCGAGAAGAAGCGAAGCACATGCAAGCGGCTGTGTGCATAGATGAATTTTAAAATTCAAAAACAGATGAATGGTTTCCAAACAAATATTGAGCAGCAAAAACTGTTTTCAAGATTTGGTAATAATAAAAAATGTTTCTTGATCAGATCAGCATATTAGAATGATTTCTGAAGGATCATGTGACACTGAAGACTGAAGTAATAATGCTGAAAATCCAGCTTTGATCATAAGAATAAATTACATTTTACAATATATTCACATTAGTGCTGTCAAAATTAGTGTTAACACAGACGATAAATTTTTCCACTTTAAAGGCATTACAAATATTTAACGCAGGGGCGGGGCTAGGTTTGGCCAACCCACTCACAGCTTCGGTCTCTTTGTTTCTTGACAAGAATGGCATTTTTTAGAGGCAGAACATCTTTACAAAAACATCAAACTTTTTAGACGTGCACTCCACTTTGCTTCAGCGCCAGGTGCAAGTCAAACGAGCACGGAAAACAGTACAGGTGACGAGGAGCTTCATTAGAACAACAGTGAACTGCAGTCAGATGAGATGTTGTCAGGACATTATGTCAGTAAAAATGAGTTTTCCTGTCCTGTCAGTCGTTATACTGTGCTCGTAGCATGTGCTCTTCAATTGCACGCACAAATACGGCGGCGTGCGCTGTAGCCTGTATCATTTCTTAAATTTCATAAATCATTAAAGCGCAAGTGAAACTATGAGCACGCGTGTCAGATCCACATCACGTTCAGCAGTGGCAGCTCTTAAATAGCAGCCAAATAACCTAATAGCCCTGCTGCTGTGAAGTCTGTTAATCAAAGAACAAAAAAAAAAAAAAAGGAAATCAATAACTTTTGTAGCATTAAGTATTCATCTATATTTAATTTACAATTTAGTGTTGGATAACTTTATTAAATTTCTGTACATTTCCTACCTGCAAATATGACATTTATAATAATGGCTTTATGTGAAGATTGTTTTAAGTTCACTTAAATTGGAAGCGGTCATTTTTAAAAGTCTAATAAATGTTAAAATTGATGGCTCTCAATTATAGTAATGTTGAATGGCTATAGTCAATGGTTAAATATTAGGAAAAAATAATTTCCTAGAGACATTTTTATGACTCGCCTTCAGTCATAAAAAGATGCCATTAAATACTAAGCATATACTATCTTTATGTTATTTCTACATTAAAGGGGTCATATGATGCTGCTAAAAAGAACATTATTTGGTGTAATGAAATGTTTATGAAGTTCAAAAAATTATTTTCCACATACTGTACATTATTGTTTCTCCTCTATGCCCCGCCTTTCTGAAACACGTCGATTTTTACAAAGCTCATCGGTCTGAAAAAGCGAGGTGTGCTCTGATTGGCCAGCTATCCAGTGCGTTGTGATTGGCCGAATACCTCAAGCGTGTGACGGAAATGTTACGTCCCTTACCATACTGTGATGCCGTGTCCGGCCGGAGCGACGAGACAAAAACATTAAAACCCATTATAAACGAGGCATTTGTTGCATCCAGTGGGGTCATAATTACTGATTACAATGACTTATACTGTCTTTTTACGCGTTGCATTGCATCGCGCCACGTAAACATAAAACTCTGTCTGCATTTGTGATCGGAGAAATGACAAACAACAAGTGCTACTCTACTTCCCAAAATTCGCGTTTGAATCATCAGTGGCAACGAAAAAACACAGTGGCCTAGCGTGAGGGGAAGCCCCGGCTTAGCGTGTGCTGAGGCCGGGATGGACTCCGCTTGGTCCACGGTGAAAATTGATGTATTTCCTCAGCGACCAGCACGGATCAGCTCCAGGCATGACGAAGCGGATATTGTCCTCTTTTGGAAGACCAAACAAAGTAGTTTCCCTTTCACAACGAAGCACACAGCGTCTTCAGGACATGGCTGCAGCAGCAACAATACTACAGTGAGAATAAAAGTTACGCCCAATTTAGTGTTGGATAACTTTATTAAATTTCTGTACATTTCCTACCTGCAAATATGACATTTATAATAATGGCTTTATGTGAAGATTGTTTTAAGTTCACTTAAATTGGAAGCGGTCATTTTTAAAAGTCTAATAAATGTTAAAATTGATGGCTCTCAATTATAGTAATGTTGAATGGCTATAGTCAATGGTTAAATATTAGGAAAAAATAATTTCCTAGAGACATTTTTATGACTCGCCTTCAGTCATAAAAAGATGCCATTAAATACTTTACATATACTATCTTTATGTTATTTCTACATTAAAGGGGTCATATGATGCTGCTAAAAAGAACATTATTTGGTGTATTTGGTGTAATGAAATGTTTATGAAGTTCAAAAAATAATTTTCCACATACTGTACATTATTGTTTCTCCTCTATGCCCCGCCTTTCTGAAACACGTCGATTTTTACAAAGCTCATCGGTCTGAAAAAGCGAGGTGTGCTCTGATTGGCCAGCTATCCAGTGCGTTGTGATTGGCCGAATACCTCAAGCGTGTGACGGAAATGTTACGTCCCTTACCATACTGTGATGCCGTGTCCGGCCGGAGCGACGAGACAAAAACATTAAAACCCATTATAAACGAGGCATTTGTTGCATCCAGTGGGGTCATAATTACTGATTACAATGACTTATACTGTCTTTTTACGCGTTGCATTGCATCGCGCCACGTAAACATAAAACTCTGTCTGCATTTGTGATCGGAGAAATGACAAACAACAAGTGCTACTCTACTTCCCAAAATTCGCGTTTGAATCATCAGTGGCAACGAAAAAACACAGTGGCCTAGCGTGAGGGGAAGCCCCGGCTTAGCGTGTGCTGAGGCCGGGATGGACTCCGCTTGGTCCACGGTGAAAATTGATGTATTTCCTCAGCGACTAGCACAGATCAGCTCCAGGCATGACGAAGCGGATATCGTCCTCTTCGGATGGACTCCGCTTGGTCCACGGTGAAAATTGATGTATTTCCTCAGCGACCAGCACGGATCAGCTCCAGGCATGACGAAGCGGATATTGTCCTCTTTTGGAAGACCAAACAAAGTAGTTTCCCTTTCACAACGAAGCACACAGCGTCTTCAGGACATGGCTGCAGCAGCAACAATACTACAGTGAGAATAAAAGTTACGCCTTCTTTCTTTGCGTGAACATTTGGGCGGAGTTATGCAAATCTTCCCAGATCGTGACGTAGACATGTGGGGGTGTGTTAGAATGAGCCGTTTTAGGTAGGCATGGTTAACTCTTAACTTTTATAAAGAATATCTCTTTGGTTTTGAGACTTTAGTGTTCGCAACTTTACAGATCTTCTTTATGCACCAAGAGTTTGTAACACGCCAAAGAGAAAGGAAACATTTAAATGGCATCATATGACCCCTTTAATTTAAAGAAAAATCGTGGTTAATTTCAGAAGAATTTGTGCGATTAATTTGTTTAGTTTTTTTAATCGACTGACAGCACTAATTCACATGGGGATGGTTATTTTAAATTGTAATAATATTTCACAATATTACTGTTTTTACAGTGTTTTTCATTAAATAAGTGGCTTCTTTCAAAAATATATATAAAAAATAAGTTTTTCTAACCTCTGACCAGTAGTGTAAGTAGGAGAGTTAGTTCATTTTTATTTTATTTTTTTACCTGTCCATCTTCTGTTGCTTGAGTCTGAGGCCCCACTTCTGTTGTGCCATTGTCCGTCGATGGGCTCACGGTTATGATTGGAGTGTTAGGTTCCTGGGTGGTCACTGGGGGTGGAGGAATGTGCGTATCAGATGTAGGCGACACATCTGACACGCACAGAACCAGATCGACCAGCTCCTCCTTCTCGCGGCACATCTGCGTGGGGATCTCGTGCAGGTGGAGGTAGTCTCTCAGATCCTTTACCTTGAGCTTCATCAGCTCGGCTCGCTCGAACAGGATGCCCCGGAAACGCTGGCAGGTGTGGCACAGCCATGGCTGGAGGTCCTGTGGAGTGAAGCAGTGACTACAGTAGCTTTTCTTGCAGTCCATGCAAACGTGCTGCAATGAAAAATGAGACGGTGAGTTTTAAAGCCAGGTTAAGACTGGAACACAATGTCTAATCTTACTTAAGGAGTGTTTAACACCATTAAGAACATTGCATTTTGCAACTGACAAGGACATTTACAGGGTGTAAGAACTGGGTCAAAAGCTACGCTCTATTGCATCATTCTAAGCACATCCTCTGGTAACGACATTATGTCTGATAAACAATGAGCTGCACTGGATAATGCCAAAGGAGTCTGGGAAGTTTCTTCAGGAAATATTAACACAACAGAACTCAACTGTAGTGTTCTGGAAGTCACAATGCCATTCAGTCAGAGCTGTGGAGCAACTGACTGCACGTAATCTCATTTCCTTCCACTCACTACTACTTTACTGCCTAAAATCCACATTCCTGCTAAATAAATGCACCCCAAAATCATTAATTCTCATTCAATATTCAGATGTGAAAACCAACCTGGAAAGAGATGCGAGGATTTGGGGAGGAAAATGAAAGATTCTTAGTGCATTCCAGGGAATTTCATTCATGGTTTATATCATAAATTAAATCGGAACAGCAGACCACAAATGCACTGTGTATGTTGTCTTTTTTCATTTACTTAAAGCAGAATACAAAGGAAATATTAAAATAATTAGGAGGAAAATAATGCAGCGGGCTGAAAAGAGCTATTCTATAGGCTAGTTTATTGTTGTTATATCACGTCACACTAATATACCAAACGCAATTTTATTCTACTAACTTCTGAAAACAGAAAATAAATGAAAATGTACAGCTCATTCAGTGAAAATGACGGATAAGGATTATTTTTTTAGCGCAATCTTATGATTTGAAAGTCATTTTGAGTGGAACTTCCCCAAACCGGAAGTGTCTCCCACAATTTAAAACGCAGTAGGAAAAAGGTGGATACAACAAGCACCTCCCCAGTCATGTGTGAACACGCCCCTTACCCGTGATTGGTTACAAGTGTGTTTTGGTGCTCGGTTCGATACACTTTGAACAGCGTTTCTGTTCTCAAATCTCTTACTGCACCTTTAAGGCAATGACACAAGTCGGCCAAACTTTTGCTGTCGCTAAGCATCAGTCGGCCTAGTTTTCATGGTTTTTGCCACCAGTTCTTTCATGTTGGTTTGGTGTGTGTCAGCCTTCTTCCAACTGAACCATAGCTAAGGTTTATCCAAAAAAAGTCGCTATGTTTGTCAGTATGTATATTCTATGGGGGAAAAAAACGCTAAAAGGGTGTGAAAGTTGCTAAATCTAGTGCTAAAGTCACGCTCGTGTGTGTGAGACGCGGGAGCTGATGGCAGGGGCGGTGGATATTTGTGGAGGTCAGTGTGGATATTGTGGATGAGTTCTTCTGTGTCATCACGTTCTATTAGTTCTACAGCTTCAGTTTCGGAACTTTCACGTTTAGTAACACATACAGCTGTGCCCTCACCACAGTGCAACATTGAAAAGGGACCCCTTTCAAACAGTGTCGCGTTCCGAACGTTGTTTAAGCGACAGACACCGGTATTGCGGTATTTAAAAAATTCATATCATAACAAAAATAAACACCGGTATTCAGTATGAACCGGTATACCGCCCAGCACTAGTTACAATTGGGTTCAACAGACTTTCACACGTTACATAATCAGCACAATTTATGTGTGCTAACAGAATAAAAGTTCATCTGAAAATGAACATTCTTGTTGTTCTGTGGAACCTAAAAGAAGATACTTTAAAGAATGGTTTACATCTTTTTGGACAAATACAATACAATTTCACTGAGATTTTGTAACTGACTAAGACAATCAAAAACATTGTATGTTTATGTGATCCATTTGAAATAATTAAACTATGAATCAAACAGTCAAATAATTCCTGATAGCTTATCTGAATTGTTCTTATTTTTAACCAAACAGTTACAAGATTTGTCTTTAACAAGCCAAAAAGAGCGCATGTCACACCTAGCTAGCACCACATAGCTGCTCGCATAAAATTCAAGGCATTAATGTTTGCTTACAAAACCACCACTGGCTCTGCACCCCTTTACCTAAATACGTTACTTTAGACTTATGTGCCCTCTAGAAGCTTGTGTTCTGCAAATGAACAACGCATTATTGTGCCATCTCAAAGAAGCACAAAATCATACTGACTTTTTCATTAACTGTTCCCCCTCCTGGTGGAATGAGCTGCCCAACTCAATCCGAGCAGCTGAGTCCTTAGCCATCTTCAAAAAATGGCTAAAGACACATCTCTTCAATCTTCATTGTACCCTCTAACTCTAGCACTCTCAATTCTACTTGTTTTCTTTTTATTTATAAAAAAAACAAAAACACTTGACCCTTTAACACTTGCATTTTCTATTCTCTAGGTGCTTACGTACCACACATGGACTGCATGCGCACTGCAAACGGAGTATGTGTGAACCTGGTGTAAAAGGCCACCGCACATACAGCTCATGAAATCAGGCTTGTGCTGTGTCAGCGACTATGCAACAATTGCACGATTACCTCTCACGGTTTGGTCACAGTGTTTGAATGAGCTGATAAGATAAATCATTCAGGATGGTAAAAACAGCAGACGTGGGTAACTCCCTCCATACACCACTGTCCAAAGGCTATTACCATGATAGCAATATTACACCAGTAAGATGTGCTGGTATCAAAAAATATATATATATATATTATTGAAATTAAAATCTTTTATGACTAGCATTCACACGATACAATGTAGTTATTAGGGCTGGGTAAAAAATATTGATATTTCGATATTAATCGATTCAAACTTTTACGGAACAATATAGATTCTTAAATCCCAAGAATCGATTAGTCTAGCCTGTTTTCAGTTAATGGACGGTACTTTGAAGGGCACTTCCCATCCAACATATCGCAATAAGCATTGTGCTTTGATACTTTTAATATGAAACAAAGTCTCAGATTTCAAATTCTGTCCATTATTTTGCAGTATTCAAACAATTAATGCCATTTTGGCAGTGTTTAATGTGGAGTGACAGATCACTGTAGCACCTCAGTTCAGTAAAAGCGGCAGCGCGAGGCGCACGTGAACTGATCATCTCCTCCACATTAATATCAGTTTCAGCACAAAATAAACATGACTAAACATCCGAAGTTAAGTTAAAAGAAAGAGTACAACTTTACAATCCATATCCTGTCTCATGTAATCGCTCAATCAGTGTTTCAGCCGCGCAAAGACGTCAATATAACGTCTTGTAAACAATACACGTAACGTCACATTTACCTCAGAAAAACATATTCAGTGACCATAAACTCATTAGTCAGCTAGAAAACAAACTGTAGAGAGAGGAATTTTTCTAAATATATGCACCATATAACATATTCATTATAAATTCTACTGTTCTTCAATGTTTAATTTATGTTTGAATAAATCCATCAAGTTTTTATGACAGCCACCATTATGTTTATATAAAAAAAACCGAATTGAAGTAGAAATATTATTATGTAATTGTAACTATTATTTTAAAAACTTCATTAAATGTAATTTTAACAAATCAGTCAATTTTAACCTTTAATATTATAGTAATGTAGTACCAACTGACTCTCGTGTATATTTTACAGCATTAGTTGAGATTTTTTTCCTTGAGAAAATTTGGCATGTACTGTACCTGATATAGATCCAAAATAATCGATATCGAATCGAATCGAAAGCTTGTGAATGAGAATTGAATCGTGAAATTTGTGTCAAAACCCAGCCCTAGTAGTTATTGTCAACATTAAAGCAAAATTGACACCTCTTTATTTGTCTTATTGTGCAACGTTTAATTAAAGGACATATTCATATCCTAAAAAAAAACATTTGCCTTTCTAATTTTTCATCAAAGCTGTCTGACCTTGAAAATGACTTCTGGTAATCTGCTGGTGCTCTAAACATGCATCATATTGAAGTCTAGTCATTAAAATGTTCAAAAATGTCTCTCAAACACACATTTGCTGGTTTTTGGTAATACAATCTACTATGGTAATGAACATGGATGGTATTGTTATCATAGGCACCTCAAAAAAAGGTGAATAATTCTAGGTATATTTTCTAAATTTTGCACATTAGGGTTTTTTTTCTCCATCAACTGGTTAAAACGTTGGTTGTGGTGGTGCACAATTTTCTGTTTCTGACACACGCCTATCATGGAGAAGAAAGGAAGTCAAACAGTATTTGCATGTTCTTTATTCTCAATGGTGCTTATTAAACAACACCTAATACATAAAGACTTAATATTTCATTCTAAACATTTGTTTACACTTACACATTTTAATCTGGACTAAAACATATCAGTACAAAAAAAAGATATCTAGATATTGGTTTAAAATGTTCTGGTTCTTTGTTATTGTTCTTCACAGTTGCATTCTTTTGCACTTTAATCTGTAAACATTTGTTTTATTTTACAATTTTCTTGTGTTTTATCTTATTGTACTTAAACATTCAGTTATTTTTGTCATTTGAAAAAAAAAAAAAAAGTTATTATAGGCCTACTTGTTTTTAAGAGGACACCACTGTTTTTAACCTGTTTTTGTAATGCAATTCATTACCATGATAACACAGTATACACATTTCAGCAATGATTGTTTCAAAACAACCTTCAGTTCCATTCATTTGCAATCTAAATCTAATCATCTTCAGAGTGCTGACTGCAAACGGCAGACTGAAAGTCAAGTGTGAACAGTGTTGATGCAAACTGGTGTCTGATGAACGACAAACAAAAACAAATGCGTTAAATCACGTGATTGCATTTTCACGATCAATCGTTGCCAGGTACTCATGTCCTTCTCTAGTTTTGGCAACAGTGGCCAATAAAGAGAGAATATTACAGATATTACTTTTGGGACATGCTGCAATGCTCTTTGGTGATTGTACAGACGATGTCATGCTGCAAAACTTAAAAACATCAAGAATCATGAAGAGACTACAAAGCAAAGCCAACTGAGATGTCAAATAACACCCAGCAGAACTGGCCGGACTCTCCTGTGGCACTCTATTCACGGCCTACAGTGCTAACCAGTGCCATTACACA